TCACACGCTTCGTGGCCCCATAGGACGCTCCAGCTAAGGCCCACATGCCAGGATTCGCAAGGCGTCGGTGCTTCATGTCGGTGCACACGTCACACGTTTCGTGGCCCCGCAGGCAGCTCCAGCTGAGGCCCATTTGCCAGCGTTCGCATGGCGCCGGAGCCGATACTCACACCGACGCTTTTCACACCTGCATATGTTTGGGCCTGCATATGTTTGCACTTCAACCGTATGCAATGAAACTGTTGGTTCATGATTGTCGCCGTCACTTCACCGCCCAATTCCGGCGGTACTGGTCGGGGCGCCGAGTGTGTATATGTGTGTATGTGTTGGTGTGTGCCGCAAGCCCATGACCGATTCTTCGATGGCCCTCTTCCCAAACGTGGAAAAGCTTCCAACGTCCGCTTTTCAGCAGCATCAATGGTCAGACGCCAGTCTGCCAAATGAAGGGTGTATTGGTTGGGTCTGTGTGGGTGGGTGCGTGGGTGGGTGAGTGAGTGGGTGATTGCATGGGTCGGCAAATCTTTCTTCCCCGCACCCACATGTGGCCCTTCCCAGACCCCTCAGGCTCTGGGGACATCCTGGAGGCCAGCCTCGGGATCTGCTGTCCGTGGCAGGACGGTCACCACCACTTCCGAACGCAATTGGCCTCTTCCTGGGGGCTCCAGCTGTCCGACCTGCGCGAGCTACACGGGAAGTTGGAGAAGCTGATTTACACTGTGGCCAGGCTGGTCACCACCGCCCACCACCACCACCCAGCCGCGAAGGATGCTGGCTGTCCGACCACCTACGCGGCCACGGAAACCTTCGCCTTCAAGCTCAAGGCCCCGATGCTGGTCTTGGAGAAGATCGTAAAGCCTGCCAACATCCGCACCCTCTCACACACCGAGTGCAGCATCTGCTCTCTCCATTGCGAGCTCACAGGCAAGGAGTGCCCCACTGGGCCACAGGACTGCCCCTCCGAGGTCACCTTCCTCTGCGGTGGGTTTCCTTTCGGCCACACTCCTCTGGACAGAGCCCTACCACCGGCTCCATTCCCCAGCGTTTCCAAGATCACACCCTACCTCGCACAGGGCGACACCCGCTTCAGCGCTGATCGGAAAGCGGCCAGGTACAGATGCGACGCCTGCTAGAAACCCCACTTTCAGCACTTCGAGGGCACCTGGTGGGACGACAACATCAGGTCGTATCTGGCGACTGACCGCCTTCAGGCGCATGCGAATGGGTTGGACTGTACATGGCTATGCGGTTCGTGCTGGACAACGGCGACGGAGAGGGACGGCCACTTGGTACCCGCGGACTGCTCCCTCGGCGATAGCGTCCGGGCGGTGGCCCTGGCCAGGAACCCTCCCCGGCCCCCGCCCGTACACAAGCTCCCCCCAGCGTCCCTCGGCTCACGGTCTCGGCACTTCCTACTACAACGGCTGCAGGGAACCTGAGCGACTTCCTCCCGGCCCCTGTGGGCCTTCACGCCCCCAAGCACGCCAACACCATTATCCCTCCCACTCGGATTGACGACGACAGATTCGGGTTTACGGCCGTCGAGACCAAGCGCTACACGGCGACGTGCGACAGTTGTCCCCCCAACGCCCCCTCTCTGTTCTGGGAAGCAGGCATGCCTGCACTCGGCTGCTTAGTATGGAAGGCTGACGCAGGGTTTGGGTCGGCTGACGCGGGGGCCCTCCCGGCGCGGGCAGATCGGTCCTTTGTCTGGACGAGCCGCAACTGGAACGCCACCTGGACGTGCCGCCCATGCCTCGTATATGCGTGGGACGTCAAACCCAGTGCAGTCGATCAGCTACTCGACGAGAACTCGCGCTTTAATCAACCCCCCCGCCCCTACCGACAAGCCACGGACCGCGCCGCCCGCTCCCGGCGAGTACTCACTAACCGACGAGCTCTCACCCAACCGGGCCCGCGTCGCCCAAACTGTTCCGCTCTGCCGTGGCGAAGGCGCCCCCGACGGTGCTGCCCTCGAGGCAGACGCACCACCTACCATGACCAGCGAAGCCGACGAGGTGCTCCGCCAACTGCCTCAAGCGAACCTCCCCCGAGGGCCTGGGCTGAGCAACGCCGACCTCAACTTCCTGGAAGCCGCAGGGGAGGAGGGAGTTGACGACCCAGACACCAAGCCCATCGAGGTCCGGATAGTTGCGTTCATACGTTACCTGCACCCGCTCCTGGAAGATCGGTGGCGGGGCTACACCATCGCGGAGGGGAACAGTGTGGTGCGTCCCGGCGACCCCGGGAGCTGGGAACCGCTTCAGCTCCGGCCCTTTCTGAAGTTGGTCTACGGTGAACGGGTGGCGCCCTCCTACCTCCTCAAGAGCACCACTGGCAGGTTAAACGGCTAGCCGCCGTCCGGGTGGTTGCAAAACTCTGCGTGCTATCTACGAACCCCACCATGCTGTATAGCTGGCTCCATCACTCCGACAAGTGGCCCCCGCGTGGCCCGCCCCCCCTGCGGCGCACCCTGGAAACCGTCGATGCCTTCCTGGCACAAGTCAGTTCAGACAAACTCACCCCTGGGACCCTGCAGCAACTAGCTCAGGAGGCCCCCTGTGCGTGACACCCAGGAGCTGTGCAAACATATTGGCCTCCCCTCCAGCAGGAAGAACAGCAGGGGTGACGGGCGGATCAGCTCGGGTGGTCAACTCCATGAGGCAGCCGAGGGAGGTGACCTCGTGCGACTCATCGTGGACCAGAAGCACGCTGATGTGGTTCCCTTCCTGGGTACCGTGGACTGGGTTGCAGAAGCCCGCGAGTCCTGGGGGGCCACCGCCCCGCGATCCGTCTGTAGCCTCCCGAAGCACGTTCAGCTCACGTTCGGGCATGGGCCGAGACTTCCGTCAGGGGAACCTTTTGACGAGGGGCCGGCTGCGGATCGGGTCCGTCAGGCCTGAAAGCAGCCTTCCTTCGTAGACAGACGGAGTGCGAACCCCGCTGCAGGATACTGGGATGCATGCGGTAGCATTCTGCCAGGAAGACGTTGTTTTCGCTGCTGGGTCCGACCATTACAGCGATCGATATCCCCATGGCGGCCGCACGGTCTGACACGACCGTGGGGCTGAGCTGCCGATCGTCCCCGACGATCAAGACCCCTCCTCTGGCCCTCGCAAGGAGCGTTCGGGAGATGATTGCCAGGGCCTTAGTTGACTGCCCGGCCTCGTCCAGTATGCCCATCATGATGTTGGGCCAGTGCTTGGCATCCGGGTCTGCTGCGAGCTCGTGAGTGGCAAGGACGAGCCTGGCCTCCTTCATCAGCTGCTTCTTGAACCTGGTGAAGGGTTTCGTTCCGCACCCTAGCCCGAAGGCGTGGTTGCCCCTCTCCATCTCGAACTTCCTTGCTGGGGTGAGGTCGGACGCCCTCGGGGCACGTGACCTTGTCCTCCCACGCACGGCGAACTGCCGAGTTGGGGACGTCGGCAGCTGGGTTGAGCTGCCTGGACCCCTGGACTTCGTCCATGTACTTCGCGGGCACGTCTGCCGCCTTGTTGGGCCCCACGAACACACCAACTGCCTGCCCGGGAGGCGAGCATGTGCCCGTGTACCTAGAGGACCATCGCCTGAAGATATTGCGCGAATACCTGAGTTTGGGACGCGTTCAGCTGGTGTCTCTGAGCGATCTCGTCCACGCCGTCTCGCGCGGGGGTTGGAAGAATCTGTTCAGTTTCGCGAACAAGCACGCACACACAGCTTGGGACGCCTCGAGCCTACCTTGCGAAGACAAAGGGCCGTTTTGAGCGCTCTGGGCGCTCCGTCCCCGCCCCATGTTCAGACCCGCGGGAGGGGGTTGCGAGAGGGTAAACCCCTCCCCGACTGGGAAGAACTCGTTCCGCCGCCGTCGCCGCCGCCGCCTTCGCCGCCGCCGTCGCCGCCGCCGCCGCTGCCACTGTCGCTCGGCTGCGGCCGCCGCCGTCGCCGTTGCCGGGCTGTCGTCGCCGCCTGTCGTTGTCGCTGTCGCCGCTGCCGCCGCCGCCGCTGTCGCCGCTGGCTCGAGGGATCGAGGAATCGTGGGATCGAGGGTTCGAGGGAACGAGGGTCGAGGACCAAGGCTTTGGGACGCTCGATCCCTGAGATCCGACGGCGCGAAAAGTTGAAGCCTCGTGAGGAACCATGACTGGATCCCCAGACCCTCCCTTTCTGCCCCGTTTTTCGAACCGAGTCGATCAGTGAGGGTTCTGGGGCCCGACCTTGGGCCAAGACGCCCTTTTTCGAAGGAGTTGGGACGCCAGGGTCTCGGGAATGTCCCTTTCGGGGACTCCCCGCCCTCGAGCGCCGCCGCGGAGGGGGCCGGTGCTGGCGGTCGGAGCCTCCTCTCCTCGGGCGTCTGGCGTCGGCAACACCCAAGCGTACTCGTACCATGTGCGCGTCGGCCCCCCCCCCATGCGCGCCGGGGGCGTCGGGCGCGCTCAGGAGTGCTGCAGAATGCGCTCGGCGGCGGGCGCTTTCTGGCCACAGCGCTCGGGTAAGGATGCGTCATGCGGATCCAGACCTCCCAGATGGGGTCCGAGTAGATGGGGTCCGAGGATCGCCCCGCATCGCCGATGCATCGGCGGTGTGGCTCGATGTGGAGCCCGATTTTCCCCGTGCCGACGTCGCCGATGCACCGCCGACGTCGCCGATGCATCGGCTCTGCGGCGTTGTCCTCCGACCCCGTCTACTCGGACCCCAATGGAGAGGCCTCTATAAGATAATCCAGGGTGGTGATGGAGAAAGTACCAGGGGTCTCGTCAACATGGCGGCGCCCAGGATGATGATTAGAAAAACCAGCCGCGGGCTGGAAAGCTATTTGTTTAGTCGTTCCTCCCCGCCCTCCGCGGGCGCGCGCCTGGACGGTCGGCGGGCCATACAGAGCCGAAGCGAAGCAGAAGCTTAAGATTCGGACACTATTTTGTCAACCGTTCCCCCCGCACTCTTTTACAGTGGGGGCGCGCATCAAGAAACCATATGCTTTTCGCCAGGGTATCCTAGGTTTCTTCGCTTCTCGCGCTGCGCGGTGACTTCCCGCAGCCGTTGAAGGAGCTGCTGCGTTCAGGGTGCTCCGGGTTTCCCCCCAGGTGCACCTCGCGCACGGGTTCTCAGGGTTGGGTTTCTTGCGAGGGTTTCTTGCGGCCGCGCCCGCACTGTATGAATCGCCATCTTGCACTATGCTCGTGCTGTATGCTCGGCTCGGACGTGCGCTTTCAAGGGGGCGCGCCGTGCCAGTGTGTCCGCCCGCGGCCCACGGCAGGCCTGCGCCGCGCTGACCGCGTGGGTCTGCGCGCGGCACTGGCTGGCCCTGCGCGCGGCGCCGCCCAGCCTGCGCAGGGGCCTCTACGGCCAGGTCGACCTCCCTCTCCTCCAATTCCTCCTCGTCCTCCTCTTCTTCCTCCTCCTCCTCCAGAAAGGGTCAGGAGCCGACCGGGGGGTCATTGCTAACGGGGTTCAGCCAGTCCCCTCTGGCTGGTCCGAGTTCGGGAGCCACGCGGGGCCGATTCCCCCTTTCCGCCCTCCGCTGGCCCAGGTTTGGGAGCTGCTGAGCGGCGAGCCGGGCCTCGCGACAGGGCCCTGGCCGACCCGGGTCTGTGCTGACCCAGGTTGGTTCGACGGCGAGCCTGGGGGGGAAGTGAGAAGGGGCGGGCCTTCTCAGAGGGCTTGGGAGGCCTCGGGCCTCCTGAGAAGTTTTCTTAGCCTTCGCAGAAGACCGCCGGCACCGGATCCTTCCCAGAAGGCCAGAGGGCTTCTGAGAAGCCCCGCCGCCTTCTGAGAAGGCCTGCTCCTTCTCACTTCCCCCTGGGCGCGCCGCCAACTGGTGCGTGCCCGAAGGGGCAACGTTGGTCACGAGCGGCGAACGTATCCATGTCTACTCCCTCGCGGTCTGGACTCCGGGGCGCGATCCCGCGGACGCGGGGTCGTACGGATACTTTCCGCGCGGGGTATCCGCGATAAAACGTGCCGTATCCGCGGGGTCGCGGCCCAGGGGTGTCTTAAGAGATCCAACGTGTTGAACAAATCAAGACGGAGGTTTTTTCGCGGTTGTCGGCCTCCAGAGGCCCTTGCCAGGCCCCTGGACCGACAGAAATCAACTTAGGAGGAGAAGCCGGCCCTGGGGATGTGGTCGGGGATCTCCAGAGACCCCGTATTGAAACAATCAAGACATCGGATCTTAGGGCAGTTGGCATTCCTGGTCCTGGTCCGGGCCAGACTCCGCGACCGACTCAGAAACTGTGTGGACGCCGCGGCCGAAGCTGCTGATCGCCATGGCATGGGCCGGAAGACCAGAGCGCAAAGCTCATAATGGCGGTGCGGGCCATGGTGTCTGACGCGAATAGGCTCGAGCGCACGAGTTCCGCGCCCGAGCACCTGCAGGGTCTCTGGGTCAGGGGCAGCGCTGGGGGTTGACACAGCCCACCCCAGCGTCTCCCCAGAGGTGCCGGGGGCGGAAAACTTTTGCTGGGCTTTTTCAACAGCCGCCCCGCTCCCACAGGAAGCATTGGGTCCTTCTCTTCCTTCTCCTCCTCCTCCTGCTCCTGCTCCAACTCCTCCCCCTCCTCCTTCTCCTCCTTCTCCCTCCCTCCCTCCTTCCTCCTCTTCCTCCTCCTCCACCTCCTCCTCCTTCTCCTCTTTTGCCCGCACTTGCCCGGAGAAGCGGGGGCGCGAAGCAGTGCAGAAGGAATCACCCGGTGGGCCCGGAGAGGGCGCGGTCAAGAGCTTTTGCGTAGCGTGTCGCTCCGCTGGCTCTGGCCCAGAGCGTTGCGGCGCGGCACGCTGTCCATGTTCCCACTCCCAGGCGTCCGCGTCCCGAGCCTTTCCCAGCCTCCCGCCCCGCGAGGCGGGTCGACTCGCTGTCAGCTCTCAGGGCATGGCGTGCCGCCGGGGCCGCCGCCGCGACACGCTCAGCATCTTTTTGACCCTAGGCTCTGCCGTAGGCTCAGGGGGAGGTGCATCGGCCCCCAAGCGCCCATTCATCGCCGATGTGGGGTCTCAGAGCCCCCTCCCGCCCAGGAGCGTGCGGGCTCGCCCTCGGGGGCCCATCGCCGATCCATCAGCGTTGTACCGCCGATCCCAGGGCGATGCATCTCCCCCCCTGAGCCAGTCCCCCGCCTGTTGTGGCCCCTCCAACGGTGGGATCGTATACGGCCCCCGATCGATCTGGATCGATCGATCGAGGACGGGTGTCGGTTGGCCCCTGGGGGCGACAGGAGCCCCGTCCGGCGGCCAGAGCCCGACGAGAGCTCCCGCGCTGTCGTCTCTGTGGGTCGGGCGACGGCCCAGGACATGTGGGATTCCGCTCCGCCGATCGGCCTCAGGCAGGGATCGTGGACAAACGGCCCGTGGATCCGTCAGGGTCGGAGCGATCGATCAGGATTTGGAGAGGATCGGTCTGGATCGGAGATGTTCAAAGGATCGGAGGCTTCACCCCTTTTGATAAACATTTCCTCCAGACGGGTTTGCAAATGTTGGCCTCAAGCCCTCATCATGTTAGAAGACCGCAGCGGTTCTGATAATCAACTTTATCGGACAGCAGCCTTTGGCCATCTCCATTTGTGCGGCCAGCCCGAGGGGGTATACGGTATTTGTCGGGCCTCCCGTAGATCCAGGTGACCATGCTGCCCCTCGTGCTGGCCACCACCGCGCTGCTTACTGTACTGTGCCCCTCTCCGAGCGCTCTCCTGCAACTAGTCCAGAAGGCATCCGAGGCCCTCGTCCTCCACAAGTTCGGGGTGTTCATGTTCATGATGGTGCTAGCTGAGAGCAGACCACTGGAATCAAACCCGGGCCGTCTCGGCGAGGATACCACTGACTGCATGAGCGTCATCCAGGAGGCGCTGGCCCAGGGTGGTCCGAAGAAGCATTTTGGAGCGCCGCCGTTGGGCTGCTGCTTGCGCCCATGCATGTCTGAACATGACCTCTCCGCGCAAGACCTCTCTTATGTGTATTGGCTGATCGAGCAATTTGTGATGTTGGTGCCCCTTGTGATGGTAGCCGAGGTGTATTCTTTCAGCGTCGTGGAGCAATCTACGTGGTTTAGTGTCTTGGTCTATTCAAAATGGCTTCTTTCGGCTTCGAACATAATCTGCATGTACGGTCTTGTGATCTTGTTCATTGCCACAAAGAGCTTGCTGAAACGATGGAACACCAAGCGGAAATTCATAGCGATCAAAGTCGTGCTTTTGATTTCTATTTGGCAGGATCGGATTATCGAAGCCATCGTTTCGAGCACTGTTGAAGGTTCCGACTCATGTTTTTTCGGCATGCGGGGTGGAGCGGCGGACCTCATGATTCAGCCTTGTGGTTAGTCATGGAGAGCCGCTTCTACTGCGCATGGGCGCTGGCTCTGGAAACGATTCCAATGTCCCTATTTATGCGCTTCGCTTTCGCCGCAGATGAGCTCAGCATATTTAGAGGAATCTAGAACGGCACAGGCAGAAAGTTTCGGAGGTCCGCGCAGATTGCTTGGCTCGGCGCTGGACACCCCTCCCTGACACGGGGAGCGCGCCAGGGGCGGCGCCGGAGGCGCCGCCAGGGGTTCCAGCGCAGAGCCGAGAAATCTGCGCGGAGCTTCGGAAGCTTATGTTTATGACGTTTTGTGTTCCTCCAATATCTGTGCGCGAGGTCCACCAAGACATCATGCGGCTGGGCATGGGAATACGGGGCTCGACCTAAAAGGTGTTTTGGCTATTTTGTGCACCGTTTTCGTTTTGATTTTGTTCTGCAGGAAGGGCAGAAGGTAGACCAAGCGAGGGAAAACGGAAACAAGGTGAACGGCCCTCTGGCTTGCCCAGAGTGCTAAGGATCCCCAGCTTGTCCTGCTCGCCAGCTCCCAGCCTGCCCAGCACCCCGGGGTCCCGTCCAGGTGCGGTGGCCTCGCTACCAGCCGCTATGAGTGCGAGAGCTCCGATGTGACGAGGAGGACGAGGAAGAGGAAGACGCCGAGTAGGAGGGGGCCGAACAGGCGGAATGTCGACAGAACGAGAGAGAACGAACACATAACGAAGACCCAAAACACTACTTTTAGGTCGAGCCCCGTGGGCGTGGCCGTGGCAAGCACCCCGCCAGCGCGCCCGCCCGCTGGCGGCGAGCAGGTCCAGCTGGGCGGAGAAGCTCTTGCCGGCGGAGCGGGCCTCGGCTTGCAGGGCCAATCGAAGAAGAACACACGATACAAGCGTAAACCTTCCGGATCGAGAGAACGTAGAGGGGGGGTTCGCCCGAGGTAGGGTTAGGGAGCGAACCCAGCTTGGGGCTCAGACTTCCCTCTTCTAGAGTCGTGGGCGAACACACAGTTCAGTTCCGTATCAGTGGCCTCGCTGGCCGGGCCCTTGGGCCGCGACCCCGCCGATCAGTTTTTCTTTGGTCGCGGATATCCGTGTGACCGCGTATCCGCGGGATCGCGTCCCAGGATCCAGACAAGGAGGACCCGCTCGCGACAAGGGCCGTTCGGAGCGGGCTTCCTCTGGCCCCACTTCTGTCCCTGCCTCGCCTTTACGTCCCCTCGGTCGGAGGTCCTCGCGGATTTCTTGGATCGGCGCTGGGCGCCCCCTGGCGGCGCCGCGCCGTCCCTGGAGCGCTCCGCGCGCTTGTGGGGGATGGGGGGCTCGGCGCGGATGCAAGAAATCCGCTCAGAGCTCTGAAAGGTTATGCTTACGCCGTTTTTTCTTCTTCCAGCCCAGGGTCTGCAGGTGTCGGCAAAGCCAGCTGGGCACCACCGCGAGTCTGCCATTGTCTGTGCCTCCCTCTTTTGGGCGCGAGGGACCCGCATTGTGGAGTACCGTCGCGCATCTCCTCCTCCTCCTCCTCCTTCTCCTCCTCCTTCTCCTGGAGTGCCGTCTCGCGTCTCCTCCTCCTCCTCCTCCTCCTCCTCCTCCTCCTCCTGCTCCTCCTGCTCCTACTCCCCCTCCTCCTCCTCCTCCCCCTCCTCCTCCTCCTCCTCCTCCTCCTCCTCCTCCTCCTCCTCCTTCCTCCTCCCTCTCTCTACCCTCCGCCTCTCGCTCGCCAGGATCTCTCGCGCGTGCGGGCAGTTCGGCCAGCAGGGGGCTCACGCTGGGGACCTGGCAAGGCTTTTTAGAGGTACCGCGCGCAGTCCTGAAGCCTTTTCAGGGCCTGTCCATAAGTGGATCTTCTCGTGGCTGCATGCATCGAAGGTGTAGCTATGCTGAGCCCCGTTTCTCCTCCTGCGCCGCCTCCTGCGCTTTTCTCGTCCCCTGCCATCGCGTCCCCAGAGATCCGATGTATGGTTTTTTCAATACGGAGCCCCCGGGTCCCCGGAAGCCTTGACCCCTTCCTCGGGTCATCCCGAGTGGTCTTTTTATGGTCCCAGGGCTCGGCGAGGGCCCCCAGAGGCCGAGAACGAAGAAAAACCGCCGGGCTGAATTTTTCAGTACTTTGGATCTCTGGGTCCATTGACCCCTCCGCTGCGATCCCCTTGTGCGTGCCCTGTCCCCCGTTGAGGCTTTGCCGGCTGGGAGGCGAAGCTGCCCTGCGGGGGCGTCGTGGACATCCCCCTGCGCATGATCGAGTTCCGGTACTGGAGGAGGGGAGCGGACAGCCACCTGCGCCGCCGGCCCGGGCTCGCCGGGATTCCCTGATCTGCTGTCCGCGACCTGGGGAGGGCTCGGCTACACGGGGCGGGTTCCAGAGAGGGCCTCGCTTGCGAGGGCCGAGAGAGTTGCCATCTCTTCGTCGGCGGAAGGCGGCAGAAGGCCGGCGAATTGCGGCGGGCGCGGCGGAAGGGCGGCGGAAGGCTGGCGGAAGTAGAAGAGACGCCCCCAATGGACGGAGCAACATTTTTGGGTTCTGGGTCTGCGGAATCGGCCTCGTAAGAGTGACCCCTTGCGTCAGCGACCATTGGCTTGGTATCGCTCGGACGTGTGCATTTTTTCTCGGCGAGGACCATCGAGGAGCTTTTTGGGTCATCCTGCGAGAAAATACACGCACGAAGCCGAAACATGCACGTGGAATGGACGTCCGAGCGATGGCGAGTTGGTGCGGGCTCGAAAGGTTCCTCCCGATCCCTGAGCGCGATGCGATAGCAGCGGCGTGCGCTCTTGGATTAGGCCCACCCCGCGGCTTTCTGAAGCCGCGCACCTACGGTCACTCCTGCCTAGGGTCGTTCTTGCGTGTGCAGTCAGCTGAGCATCCGATTGAGAAACCTTCTTCCGAAAAGCTGGGCCAGCGTTTCTCACCCAACTTGCCGGAAAGCTGGCCTGGCTTATTTTCCGGGAAGCTGGCCCAGATGTCTTGACTGAGTGATAAGTTTTTTGATCATCTTTTTAGCTGTAGCCGAAGGACAACCAGGCCACGCTAGCGCCGAGAGCTCGGCGAGAGTCGAATAATAATCAGCGGCGTAAGGGTGAACTCGCGACGGTCCGCGCGGATTTCTTGGATCTGTTCCGGAATCCCCTGGCGGCGCCAGGGGTGCCGCCCCTGGCGCGCCCCGCCCCGCGCGCTAGGGAGGGGGGCCCAGCGCCGATCGAAGAAATTCGCTTGGAGTTGCAACAGTTTCTGTTTATGCAGTTATTCTTCCCCTCATGCCAGCGCCGAGAGCTCGGCGAGACACAGATATATATCTAGCTGCCTGCGGCAAACTCGCCACAGCGCCTGTGCAACAGCGCTGACAGAAGAATACTCCGTGTATGAACAGCGCAGTTCCGACGACTGGTCTGAATTGGGACGGGTCGCGAGCTCGACCTCGTCTTCGCGAGCGGTCTGAACAGAGGTGGGGTCGTGAACTCGACCTCATCTTCGTCCGCGCGGTAGGGATGAGGAGGAGGAAGAGGAGCAGGAGGAGGAGGAAGAGGAGATGGAGCTGGATCTGGAACTGGAGCTGGAGAAGTAGAAGCTGGATGATGATGCTGATGATGAGGAATCATGATGATGCTTATGATGATTATAATGCTGATGCCGCTAATGATGGTGCTGATGCTGCCTCTGATGATGATGCTGCTGCTGATGCTGATGCTGCTGATGATGCTGATGATGACGATGATGATGCTGATGATGCTGCTGCTGATGATTATGATGATGCTGATGCTGATGCTGCTGCTGATGATGATCAGGCTGCTGATGCTGCTGAGGATACTGATGATGCTGATGATGACGATGATGATGTTGATGATGATGCTGATGATGATGATGATGATGATGATGATGTTGTTGATGATGATGATGATGATGATGATGATGATGATGATGATGACGATGACGATGCTGATGATGCTGCTGATGATGATGATGAGGAGGAGGAGGATGAGGAGGAGGAGGAGGAGGAGGAGGAGGAGGAGGAGGAGGAAGAGGTGGAGAGGGACAAACTGAAGACAAGGAGGAGAAGGCCTCTTATGAGCTCTCTGGGGGCCTTCTGGGAGCCTGCTGGGGGCCTTTCAGTTGGTCCTCCTGGGCCAATTTGGGGCCGTCTTTCGAGGCCTATGGGCTGTCTTGGAGCCATCATGGAGGGCTTTTGGGCCGTCTTTGGCGATCGGAAATTAGAACATATTTGAATTTCACAATCCTTTAACAACCAACGGAAAGTCATCCGAGGAGGCCTCTCGGGGCCTCGTGGGGGCTTCTTGGAGACTCTTCTGCCGTCTCAGGGGCTCATGGTCCGTCTGACGCTCTTGGGGGCCTCTCTGGGCCGCTTTGGTGACCCCTTGGGGCGCTTTAGGGCCGTCTTGTGGCCCTCTGGGGATGTTCTTGGGCGATCTTGGGGTCCGCTTAGGCCGACTTGGCGCCCTCCTTGGGGGCCTCATGGGTTGTTCTGGAGCTATCCTGGAGGCCTTTTGGGCCGCCTTGGGTGGTCGGAAGCCCAAACAGGTGAGGACCTGGCGAGAGCGCCGAAATCCTTCAAAATCTTAAGCCTCTCGGTACCCTCTTGGGCCATCTTGAGGGCCTCTTGGGCCGTCTTGAGGCCATCTTGAGGGTGTCTTGAGCTGTCGTCGACTGTTTTGGTGTCATCTTGGCTGCCTTGGAAGCCATCTTGGAAACCGTCTTGACCGTACGGAGGCCAAACCGAGCGCTGGAGAGCAAACTGAGGGGGGGCGTTTTTCGGACCACGCGCGGGTCGAGGGGTGTGGCTACCATAGAAAACATGATGATAGCAAGCGTGGATCCCAAAGAGTGATCTCATACAATCTATTCCGTACAATCTAGGTGGTGCAATCAATATGGTGCACTCAATGTGGTGCAGTCCACGTGGTGCAATCCATGTGGTGCTAAGCGATGCAACGCGATGCAAAGTAATGCAATGCAATGCGCAACAATGCAAAGCAAAACAAAGCAATGCGAAGCACTGCAAAACAATGCAAAGCAATGCAAATCACCGCAACGCAATGCGAACCAATGCTATGCACACGAATGTCAACCACTGCAAAGGCATGCAAAGCAATGCAACGCAGTGCAAAGCCATGCAATGCAATGCGATGCAAAGTGAGAGCCTCACACTTTCAAAATCGTGGCCACAGACGTCGGCGACGGGCGCCGACGGGCGGCAACAAGCAAGCCAGACCGACAATTAGGCCCAGCCTCGCACAATCAAAATGTTGACCAAGGACGACGCTGACGAGCCGTGCCTGGCGGCCACAAGCTGGCCGGACCGACAACCAGACCCAGTTCCTTGGAAGAGAAGTGCGATTTCCAAAGTGATCTAGGGAAAAGAAAGACGACCATTACAATACGCCCACTCCGTGCAGGTGCGGTGGTGGATACGGACACACACACATACGCACGTTCATACACATACACCTGTACAGTACTGATCAATATACATGTACAAATATGATGTGCATGTACTGTACACATTTAGTCAACGCGTATACCTTCGTACACACATCCAGACACGTATGTATATAGCTACACACATGTCAATGTAGCTGTATACGTGTATGTGCACATACATGTGTACAGATGTATACGTTTATAGGTATGCGCATATTTACCGATGCAAACATACATGTGAGCATAATCATTTGACTGTCCTCTAGTGACCCGAGTTGCTGCCTGCGGGTGGTTGGGGGTGGCAGGATGTCCCTGTAGAGGGATCAGGGACAATCAGAAGCCCTATGGTACTCGAGGAGGTTTAAGCATCGATGGAAGATGAGCCGATACATGTGTTATTGTAAGAGGCCTTATTGTTTGAGTCCGTTGTAGTCGGCTGCCAGACCCTGGCTTCCAGCACTGGAACGTATAATCCAGCTCTAGTTATGCGGGGTTCGTGACGGGGCAGTCGAGCTCATGTTCTCTAAGTTTCAGCGCTGCGTCTGAGCGCAGGTACGGATTTCCAAATGTATGCTCATACGTGCGTTCGTGAATCTGCTTGCAGGATCTACCATCCCAGTCGCAAGCAGCAAACATGCTCAGGCCTGATTGCACAGACGTTCGCATGCACCGTAAACTGGCGCGCAGCATGCCAGTCCAGCAACAGAGTTCTCGAGGAAGAGTCTGCGTGGCGTGCAGTAGTCACCATCTTCTACGTGTTTATCCTCTTCTCTTTCCTCTTCTCCCCGTTCTAGTTCATAGTTTTCTCCTCATCCTCCTCATTGAGTTTTGTGTGCTGCTACCACTTACTGCTACCAACAGCTGCGGAGGAGGATGGGCAGAGGTAGGATGGGGACAGGATTAGGGGGGAGAGATATTTTTCAATCCACGCCCCCAGAGGCCAAGACCGCTTCCCGGGGATAGTTTTGCGCCTAGGATGCTTTTTTGACGGCCCAGGCCCCGCAAACGACACCCGATGGCCGACATCCAGTAAACAATCAGTTTTGAGAAATACATATTGTCGGATATCTGGAGAAGATGGGGGTCAGGAATCTCGTGGCGCTGTGCCGCAAGCTCGGGGTGCCGCTTGCCTCAACCAACTTCACGGTCAGCCTGTACGGAGGACGCGCTGGGACCGGGAGCGTCGGGGACCCTGGGCTGCAGCCACCAGTCCCATCTGCCCGCCGTCGTGGGTTCAAGAGATCACTCGTTAAGACCCTTTCTTCCCGAGGTGGGGGGAAGAGGAGAGAGAGGAGGGGGAGGGGACCCGACGACGGCGGCAGCGACAGCAGCGTAGCAGCGGTGCGACATCCATTCCGCTCACTCGCTGCTGCAGGTAGGGTGGGTTTCGTAGTTGGAAGGGAGGTGGGCTGGCCTCGGGGTGGATGGGGTGGTTCTTCTGCTGCTGCCCCTTTCCT